TTTTTTTTTTTTTTTTTTTTTTTTTTTTTTTACTATTTCAGTTTCCGTTTTAGTAACTTTAGTACTTAGGCAACCATTTTAAATGTTGCCTTTGGCAACTAACAAAAGAAAAAATTTGTGTTTCGTCTAATAGTTTTTCATCTAATATTTTATTTCCGATTTCAGTAGTTTTAGTTTTTAGTTGTATTTAAAAACAGCAACACTAAGTACTTGGTATGTTGCCACAAGAGGAGCTATAGTGTGCTTTGCGTAAACTAAAAAATATTTTTTTGTAACGTAATATAGTAATTTAGTATTATTTAAATATGATTATAGTATTTATTTATATTTAGAATTTTTTTTTACAGTTTTTTTTTTTTTTTTTTTGTTTTTTTTTTATATAGTCTTTTTAAAATATTTTTATTAAGCTTTATTTTTATTTTAGTTTATGTTTTAGTAACTTTAGTACTTCAAGAAATTTAAAATGTTGCCTTGGCAACAGTGTTTGTTGGATGTGCACTTCAGAATCTCGCCGCAAAATAGTGGGTCATTTTGGGACTTTTTGCATGCTATTTTATGAATGCTGTTAATTCAGACATATTATTTTGTTTCGCCTACTACATAGTAGGGAAGTACGTGATTTTGGATGAAGCCTAAATGGTAAACCAACAGTTAATGTTTGCATAATTGCATAAGAGTATGTTTCTGGCCTGAAGCTTCTTTGTGTTTTATATCATGGTTAGTGAAGGCTGTTGATGTCTGTTTGATTTCATAGTGCATTTATTTTCATCCTCAGTCTGTTTGTGTGTTTGCAGTGGTTTCTGTGCCAAAGAAAAAGAGAAAAATGAAAGACCTGAACAAGAAGGAGGCGGGAGATCTGCTTGATGCCTTTAAAGAGGTCTGTGAACGGTTTGAGGCCAGAAACTGTTTCTTTGTATTCAATAATAAAGTAGTTCAAGGCCTGTACGTTTACAATTTATGCAAAGCTACTGGAATTGCTGTGAGCGATGTGAATCCAAGACTTTCCGAAAATACAGATTTCACAAAATTCAAGCCATATAATGTTACAGATTTGACTTTCTTCTAGTATGGAATGATTCTGTGTGATAAAGTGAGGGATAATTAAAATATGTCTACATAGGAATAAGGTGAAAGTGACCTGTTATCTTGTTTTAAAGCACACACCCCCTGAGCCAGAGGCCACACCCCCAGTGAAGGCGGAGCCAGAGAGCCCCGCCCCCATGGTCCCGCCCCCAGCAGAGGACGTGGATGAGACGTGGGAGGAGAAAGAAGATAAACTTGATGCTGAAAACATCAAACCGCAGAGTCCCACCCCGAGTTCACCCACCGAACAGAAATACCAGTATAAAGAAGGTAAATCAAGGCTCTACATACATGTGTTTTTGCAGCGTTGAGTAATGTATCGCACACATATGTTGATTCCTTGAATGCAATGTTAATCAGAATCCACTCTCTGCTCAAAATACTGGAGTTTTGTTCATTGCTGAGTTATGCAAGCTCACAAATCCTCTCGTTATTACAAACGAAGTGTAGACAGGGTGTAAATAAGAAATGCAGTGTAGAGAGCTTCATTGATTATAACGCAACTTTGTGAGATCGCGATGAACTGAAGTGAGTGACAGCTTTTAAAGATTATTAAGGCAGTTTGCAAATGTGATATTAAATTAATACAACAGTTCAATAAACGATAAGTTAATATTAAGTGACATACATTGTATGACTTTAACAATATTGTCAGATTCTGCCAAGATTTCGTCAACGAAAATAGTTTCAAACAAAGTCACAGCCGAGCCGCTGCGCATCTCCAAGCAAACAAAGCGGCGTTTTTAAATGAATCTAGTGAGTCAATGATTCAATTACACATTCATAAAGACAGTCACTTGCTTCGTTCCTGAATGAATCAGCCGTTCAAACGAATCAATTGAATGAATGATTCAGTGATCAAATCAGTGATTTGCCGCCACCTGCTGGCAGTTTTATTTTGATTTTGAAAGTATCTTTTCAGTTATTTAAATAATTTCAATCAAACAATAGTTCTATATTTAAAACTTTAATCTCACAGCATTGTTATGAATTTAAAACACCCATGCCACCTCTGAGTGTCTGTAAATTTACCTACATGCCACTTTTGTGTTCCTCTGTGCCACCTCTGTAGTGGAAACTAATTTTGTTAATATTGATTTCTTTTGATTGGTATCTTATTCTACCTGTTCTTATTCTATTTTTTAAATTAGAAATTTTGCAAAAGCTTATAAATATAGATTTTTGAATTTGAGCTATGACATACTTTTAATAAAGTTTGGACTTATGTAACGTAATTATTCAGATCGATTAATCAGTTACAGATTATGGTTGAAAATTAGTGACAGATATATTAGTCAGGCCAATTAATTCTAATGACGTGATTCTTGGGTAGCTTCACGAAACCAACAAGGTGTGTGAAAAAGACAAAAATACTCTATGAACACAGAAACTGGAGAAATTAGATGAGTCAAAGAATCAAAATATGAAGTTTTCACCAAGATTTGAAGAAAAATAAAAAATTGCAATTTATTTTTCTCTTAAAAATTGTGATTGCAATTTATTTATTTTTTTTGTTTAAATGCAGTTTTCAATAAATTGCCTATTCTCTATTTTTTGTCTCTTGCTCATGTTTCTTCTTTCGGCATTTTGAAGCAGTACTTACAGCCTGGTTACGATCCACCAGCGAGAAATGCGAATACTTGTAATGTTTCCTCCGGTCTTAAGATTTTGTTCAGGAGTGTATTTTTATATATGCATTCTTTTATATATGCAGGTTATTATTGTTAACTAAAACAAAACCAAAAAAATAAAAATTTTCGTCACTTTAAATAAAAACAAATAAAAAATAGAATAAAATATAAAAAAACTAAATTTTCCATTGAATTTAACTTGATGTACTAAAAGAACTAAAACTGAAATAAAAATTAATTAAAAAAAAAAACTATGTAGGCATTAAAAAATACTAGTGCTGGGCAACGATTAATTGCATCCAGAATATTTACTGTGTATATTTATTATGTATATATAAAGACACACACATACAGTATATATTTTGAAAATATTTACATGTATTTACAGATAAACTTGATGCTGAAAACATCAAACCAGAGAGTCCCACCCCGAGTTCACCCACCGAACAGAAATACCAGTATAAAGAAGGTAAATGAGGATTGATAAATTGTCCAATTAAAAAAATTGCATTATATGCGTATTCATGGATTGGGTTTTATCATTTGTTGAGGAACCAGAATCGCTAATAAAACTGTCCTTGTTTCCCGCAGAACAATGGAAACCGCTGAGCCCCGAGGAGAAGAAGAAATATGACCGAGAGTTTCTGCTCGGCTTCCAGTTCATCAGCGCCAGCATGCACAAACCTGAGGGTCTGCCGCAGATCTCAGACGTGGTGCTGGATAAGGTAGCTGAAGCTTACACACACACACACACACACTCTCACACACGCACACCTGATGCGTTGACATGGCTTATTCTCTCTGCAGGCCAATAAAACTCCTCTGCGGCAGCTGGATCTGAGTCGTTTGCCCGGAATGAACTGTGGTCCAGATTTCACGCCTTCGTTTGCTAATCTCGGCCGTCCGTCAGCCGGGGGGCGTGGCCCGGTCAGTTACCATGGCAACCTCACCGGAATGCATGCTTTTGTGTTTATATTTTACAAAATATTTCACTAGACTGTACTGTTTTTAATGTAAATAGACAATATTTTTATTCAGAGGAATGTTTAACTTTTGTATTTTAAAAGAGTATCGCCTGAATGTGTATTAGAATTTTTTTTAATAAGTTATTTTAATTATTATTATTTTTTTAATAATAGTCTTGCTGTTGTCATGGCGTTAAAATATAAATAAATGAATTATTATTTTAATAAAATAAATTATAATGTATTTTATTTTAATTTATTACATTTTTAATGATAGCCTTGCTTCTGTCATGGTGGTAAAAATTATAAATAAATAATTTATAATTAATTTTACTAAAATAAATAATGATAAATGATTTAAATTTTTTTTATAAAATAGCCTTGCTGCTGCCATGGTGCTAAAAATAATTAATTAATTAAATAAAAATAAATAAATTTGTTTTATTTATTTAAATTTGCCCACATTATTTTATATGATTAATCATTATAAATAATTTATTATAATTATTTTTTAATGACAAATAGTAAATAATTAATTAAAATGAAAAATGTATTTATAATTTATATCAATAAAATAACTGATAAATAATTTATTTTAATTATTGATTTATTTAAACATTT